TATATATATAAAAGAAAAAAAAAGTCTATCGGCAATATTATATAATGTCAAAAAGAGGTGTAAAAAAAAGAAAGGATTTGATGATCTTCTATGTGATATACAACCCACACAAATGCCTTCAAAAGAAGATACACGGATATTCAAAAAAACAAAAATAAAGTCAGAAATTCTATGGAAGAAAATGCAAAAAAAAGGAGAAAATAGATCCAACATACTTTTGTCTAGTAGTGTGGAGCTTCGATCTTAGCAATGAATGGCATCACCACACGGATAACAACAGTAGCGATCTTAGCAATGAATGGCATCACCACACGGATAATAACAGTAGACAGTATACAACTAAACTAGTTAAAAACACCACCAAAATACAGGAAACAACCGTGAATACTACCACCAAAATGCAGGATACCGCCGTGAATAATACCACGAAAACATGGAAATAACACCATCAGGCATTATACAGAGAGGTCGGGAAGTAAACCCGTTAGTAACACCACCAACATACATGATATAGAGTGAAGAACACCAAGAAAATGCGGGATACAACTGTCAATAACACCACCAGATAATATGCAGAGAGCATGGGAAGCAATCTCGTCAAAAACACCATCAGATAATATACAGAGAGATAGGATACAACCTCAAATATCACCACTAAAATGCGGGGTAGAGTCGTAAAGGATTTATATTAGAAAAACCTTAATGTATTTTGCACTTTTGTTAGTCCAGATCAGCTGCATAGCCCCCAATGCTCTAGTCTTAAATTTGCTCTCATTTATGAGCAAACACTATGCCCTGGTTGTGAAATTTGCCCTTATTTAAGAGCAACCACTGCAAAATTCATCATAAGTTTACACAAGTCCAAAGTGATGATGAACATTAACACATTCAAGTAAATGGACTACATATTATAAGTTGAAATAGCACTCTCTTTTACTTTAAAGATCAAATGATTAAGGCGTGCTTGGCTGCAATTTGAATTAACGTTAAATATGATTTATCGAAGGCGGTGTTTGGCTGCAACTTGTATTAACGTTAAATAGGATTTATCAAATCCGATAAATCTTTTCACGAAAATGGCGCTCGTCAACGGCAAAACAAATCCTTTGAATCCGATTCACATTCAGATTTATTAAATCTAAATTTACATCCTAATGCAAACTAAAAAAAAATTAGATTTAAAGCCTGGAATTTTATTTATTTTGGTGATGTTTGACATGATTTAAGTTAAATTTATGTCTAAATTTTTTTAATAGTATAATACTAAACGCTAACTAAAAAAAACAAAAAAAAAAAAAGGTACAACTCAGAATGATCTGCGATGGATAATTTTAAATAAAAAAAAAAAAAAAAAAAAATGGTACAACTCAGAATGATCTGCGATGGATAATCTTAAGTAATTTTAGGCGCCAAAATTTGATTGGTATCAAAATGCGGCATGCAAAAAAAAAAAAAATCAATTCATCAATTCATCAATTCCGGCGTGTTAGGTTTGGTTGCGGCCCCCCACGAGATCCTCGTGGGCCGAGCGCTTGCAAAACTGCCTACAAGTGGAAGCTCGAAAACGAGCTTTTGGAGAAGGGGAGAAGGAAGAAGTCCTGGAGATGGCGAAGGTGGCGGCGCTATTGGCGGCGGTTCTTTTCCTTGCGGAGCATTTTTTCTCAGTTCAATGCCTATCCGAGTTTACCAGGGAAGATTTTCCGGCGGATTTCGTCTTCGGTGCAGGAAGTTCTGCCTTTCAGGTTCCTTCGATTTCTGTTTTCTGACTAGTTTTTGAAAAATGTAGAATAGTCAGGATTCTTTATAACGGGAAAATAGGAATAAACGTCGCCATGTTTGGATACAATTTATCTAATGCAACATATTAAGTTTTATTTAGAACCTGGAACAAAGAACTAAGTGGAGTGTGATATGAGCTTAATTCGTTTCCAGCTATAACATTCTACTAGCATCCATATTGTGCCATCCATACTGTTCGATGTTTCGACCATTGGCACCTTCCTATGGCAACAGCTCAAGAGTTGCATCCTGCGGAGTCTAATAGTAGGAGTCACGTTTTAAGTGGGTCTCATAAATTTAAAAATTGACCAATTCAAGTGTATTATGTGGGCCCACTTGACACGTGATGCCCATCATTGAACCCCGGACACAAATTACGGGATGCAATATTTGCTCCATCTTGCTACACTTTATGCTATAGCACGATCCATTATACACTGTTGTCACGTGCACTCCAAATGAAAGATGAAGTCCATGCAAGCATCCTATTATATTGGAGGCATACTTCACTAAAAGAAAATCAGTTCGATTAAGTTTTCCAAGGGTTAACTTGGATTAGTAAACCTTTCTTGAAGTGGACACAGTTAGGATTGTACCGTATGTTCTGATCCACTTGAGGATTTTCACTGTATTTCGAGGATGACCTGCATCTGCATGAATATAAAGAAAAGTCTCAAACAATTCAAATAGCTCTAGTTATGCATGCAGAGTCCAGACTTGACTTGTTAAAAAATATCATTATTTGTGTTCGACTTGTTTATATATAGAGTTCAAAAAAATTTATTTGTGTTTGACTTGCTTGCTTATAGAGCCGAACACAAGATAATCACGAATAATGAGCTACTTTTACAACCCTAATAACATAGCCGTAGAATGTTAAGAGTAGGGCAAGATTTAAATTTTGTTATTTATATTAAAATATTCATTTAAATAAAATTTAGTATTTTTTTATTCTATTTTTAATTATTAATTTTAATTGCTTATAAATCTTTGGAGCATTGCAGTCAATTAAATTATTTAAAAATAATACTCATTATATATGATTATACAAATAATTTAATTATTTCGAGCCAAAACGAGTTCGTGTTCAGCTCGTTTATATATCGAGTTCAAAAACATTTTTTGTGTTCTGCTCGTTTGCTTAGAGAACGAATCGAACACAAGCTATATACACATACATATATATAAAATTATTTTGACTAAAAATGACCCAAACACAAACGAAAAAAATTTTGTTCGTGTTCGACTCGTTTATATATCAAACACAAAAAAATTGTTCGTCTTTGGCTTGTTTGCTTAGCGAACGAATCGAACACAGGACCTGAGGGAACTTATAACCTTCAAAGATGTTGCGCTACCAACAGGCCATGGAACGAGCGCGCACATATATATATATATATATATATATGCACACACTGCATATTTTAATATTTTCAGACGAAGAAAATGATCTGGCCCGAAAATAGGGGCAAATGATACAATATCAACAAATTCTCATCATCTGGCACAAATCCTAATGCATGACACAAATCTCGAGACAATTCTTTGGAGAAAAAATATTTAAATGTTGATAAAAAGTCATCCAGAGCTCAAATTTCAGCAAACTAATAGTCAAACTGACCGACTCGATGAGACTGACCCAATGATATCAAAATTAGTTCAATTTGAGTCATATCAAACTCAGATCAAATCATTAAACATCTCCTAAAAGTTTTTCAAACATTTTTTGAAAGTCAAACAATGTCGAATCTAACAAGCCTATAGTTGAATCGAGCGTCTTGGCAAGATGAATCTAACAAGTCGAAGATTGCTCAATTCCGACATCGTTAAGACACTCAAATGTCCATCAAATGCCTTTTGATTGAAGGAAGCTATCCAGACCCTCCGATCAAAGTGGTTTATTTTTTTATATTAATTCCACTCATAACACTATAAATAGAGTCTCACTTCTTTCATGAGTGGGTGAGAGTTTGAGTCTTGGGAAAGAACTTGAAGATTTGAGGAGCTGAAGTCCAGCATAATCGTCGACTACCGCCGACTGTAGTCGACCACCTGCCGGCCTCCACCGATCGTCATCGGTTGCCACCCACTTCTTATAATAAGTTTATTCGTGCACCGACATTGTAACTCTGAAGAGTGTTCAACCATTTCCCGCCTGTGGCACGACGGTATGTACATGTAATATCCAGCTTATAGTAGATTTCTTCAGCTGGGATAGAACCCGTTGCTTTTCTCCCTTTATGGGTTTTTCAGATAAAATATTATGGTGTAATTACTAATTGTTTTCTCTCTTTTGAGTGTGTGTTGAATTTTTGTACCACGCTAAGACGATAATTTGCTACTCTACGCCGCATATTTTTTAGCATGCATCAATTCCTATATATCAATGATATTATTATGCTTGCAAGTTGATTCCTATAAAACTAAGGGTAATTATTAGGTTTATAAAAATTTTTAGTTGGTTATGCTTAAATCTTATTATAAACATGCATCTTAAAGAAAATTTTAAGGATCGAAGTTGTGCTTAACTTTACTCATGTCGGATGAAATCAAGAGTAAACAAGGTCGAAATAACATTATATTTATTATATAAAATTAGTTGCATGATGCAAAAGGTTTTGAATCAATTAGTATTTTTTGAATTGGCCTTAGTCTGGCAAGATTCTTTCTTGGGTGCAACCTTTGGCTAATATAATCTATGATGAGCGTCAATAACCTCATCACAACTTATAGTAGTTGGGGGATCATTTGATCAACACTCTACGACCACTTTGCCATTTATGTTACGTTGTCATCTTCCAACCAAGGCAACATTCACTTATTATTATGCAATTTTATTTGTAAGTTTTAAAGTTCATTGAGTTATTATGCCTTCAATGCTTTAGAATTATTTCAATCGTTTATTTGTAAATGATCTTGTAAGGATAAATGTTGATTCATATATAAATATTGGGACATTATGATTGACTTAATCATTGAAACCTTTTAAAAATTCTTCTTACCAATTTGGTCCATGAAACTTTGTTCTATTACCATTGACATGTTTGTCATGTCTTTGATATGATTTAATATCAATTTTGGTCGTTGTTGTTGAGCTATTGTTGTCCAATTTGCTTTATGTGGGCCATTGAATCCTTCTGCAACTGACATTACCTAAGCATGATTTGATTAAGAGAATGTGTGATCTCATTCATCCATTGTTGATAAGTACAACCATATTCTTGGTATGCCTATAAATAGTGTTCCTTTTGAACTCATTTTCCAAGTTCTCTCTATGTTGAAAGTAGCTCCATCAAAATTTCTCATCTTTATGATGCTCATCATTAGTGATTATCGTACTAAGTTTATTGACCATAATAGAGCCGTGGACACACTTGCATATGCAAATAATGATTGTATCACTTGTCTACATGAGAATATCAAATAATGCTTGTATTTTATCCAAAATTTGTTTTGATGGTGTCATTTTGTTTTCATTTGATGATCAAATGATACTCTCGCTCATCCACAATTATCATGCTCCCATGGTAGTTTACATATGATATTATCATGACCTAAATTTGGGTATGTATTGGCGGGCTATAATTCAGGTTAAGATTTTGAAAAAGATTGCATGCTTGACTTTTGAGATGAGCCAACAAACATAATCTTGTTGGACATACATAGTAGAACATAATCTCCTAAAAGGGCACCCAACTCAATTTGCTTAGTTAAGGGGAAAATTGCTTGATTGCTTTGAATGCTTCATGCATGGAGAAAGAAAAAAGAGAATCCAAATGACATGAAGATGAAAAGTAAACCATAATAAACATAAGTATCTTCTATTTCATAAAAGCCTAATGAAAGTGGAATGTGAACATCGATGAACTATAATAAAAACACATAAAAGATACGGTTCTCTTAAAGCTCACCCTAATCTTAATTGCATGCTCGACAAACTTTAATGACTAGTTCGACTCCGTGAGTTTTGGTTTGCCCTTTACTCATCCTATCCTACTTGATATTGTTTTGCCATACTTCCTAATGTTAGGAAAGTTATTAATACATTAAAAGCAATACTCAAACCATCAGCCCAAATTGATAAAAGGAAGAAAGGTTCACTTGGATACACTAAAAGCTTCCATATAATCTTCAAAAATGGGATCTCGCCATTACGAAGCTTATTTATATCATAATCCAGTGTTCTTTCAGGCTCCTCAATATAAGTCAAATCAGACTGAATATCAACTGAGTTCGCTATCACCCTGCTTGATTCATCTGTAATATATTTTCTAAGTGAAGAAATATGGAAAACATTATGCACTCATCGCATATGAGCTGATAAAGCCAATCGATATGCCACATTTACAATCCTTTCCATAATCTCATAATGACATATATATCTTGGACTCAGTTTACCTGTCTACCCAAAATATTACACACTCTTCAATGGGTTTACCTGATAAAGACAAATTCTCCAACCTCAAACTTCACTAGTGTGTGCTTGACATCATAATATTTCCTCTGTTTATCATTTAGTGCTCTTAATTTGTCTCTATCTAAGCAGTCTAATCTTTTTAGTAGCATCATCAACTAAGTTAGCTTCAATGACATCTTTTTCACCGATTTCAGCCCAACATAAAAGCACCCTGCACTTTCTTCTTTACGAAGCTTCATATGGAGCCATCTCAATGCTAGTTTTATAACTGTCATTGTAAGAAAATTTTACTAATGATATATGTTATTCTCATCCTCCACCAAAGTCAAAAACAGATATCCGTAGTAGACCCTCTGAAGTCTGAATAGTTCTTCCCGACCGGCCCTCTGTCTGAGGGTGAAAGGTTGTACTGAAAGACAATTTGGCGCCCAAAGCTTCATGAATCTTTTTCCACAATTTAAACATAAATTTGCCATCTCTCCAAAGACAGTTTTTAATGTTAAGAGTCTGAAATAAAAATAAAGTTTAAGTTATTGCATATTAGTAGGTTAGATTATTTTCATTGAGTAACTGTCATGAATATATACATTAGATTATTATATGATTTTTTAGAATGAAATAGAAATGATCAGCATGTATATTATTTTGGTTTCCTTGAGTTACTGTAATTTATAAGTGAGATTGCTCCAGGGTTATCTTTAGATTATTTATTATGTTGTTTTAATATTTTTTAGATTTTTAATTTTTAAATAAGATGAATAGAAAATGAACCAATGTGTGCAAAAGAAGAGGATTGCAAACAAAAAATTTCTTTTTAATTAAATTATTTTTTTAGTGACTCTTTCGTGAATATTTGAACACTAAACTATTAGTGAAAGAATTAGAATAATAAATAATTATTTTTCACTGTTTGACCGTCAGTTTCCACCTTAGTTAATTCCAAGCCTCACGCTTGGTTGTAATAGAACTTATATTTATTAATCACTAATGAATGATTGAGGAATCTAATGGATTTATCGTACACATTTCAAGTGATAAATTTGAGCATATTATTAATTAATAAATCCAAGGATGTCATAGTCAATAATGGATTAAATAAACTGGTGTAATAATTTAGAAATAAATGTGCCTTATATTAAAAACGGTGAAAGGCTTAATCAATTTCATTAAACTGTAATAATTATACTCATGTAATATTTAACTGACCATCAAGTACGTATAAAAGAATATAAGTCTCTCTCCTAAAAAAAATATTTTATGAAGTAAAAATTCCATCAAAATCTTTCATAGCAAAAATTCCATTAAAAATAATGCCTACAAGCAATGATGAATTACTAATCAATAATAGATAAAATGATAATGAAAGGCATGTATGCTTTTAAATTAAAATTTAAATATTTCTTAAGTCATTGAAAGCTCTTCAACAGTGCCAAATATGTGCACACTGCATGAACACCCAACAATGTCTCCGTGGTATGCCATGGATAGAAGCATCTTTATGCTACTATATGTTATTATTTTCATTTAAATACTTTTAACTTGCAGATTATCTTATAATGCATTTCACATTTTCACAGTATGAGGGTGCGTGGGCAGAGGATGGAAAGTCTCCAAGCATCTGGGATACTTTTATACATGAAGGTAATTTCTCCACTTGCCATAATTTTCTTTTTTCAATTGCTTATGAATGACTGTTCATATGAACAAATTATTAGTAAATATACAATAATGACCTTATAATCTCAAATTTTACTAGTATGATAAAATGAAAAGAAAAGGTTATCTGCAAATGAAACATCCATTTAAAGTAAAATAAAGGTCAGGCTATAGAAAATGTGTTATTCAACCTGAAATTAATTTCCTCTCAGGGGGAGCTGGTGGTAGCACCGCGGATGTGGCTTCTGACGGTTATCACAAGTACAAGGTATGCATTTTCTTGCTAAGAAACTTACATTTCATTCTTCTGCTACTAAACCTGTATGTAATCCCTTCTTTTTCTATAGATATATCGTAATTTTTATTCATATATCTTTGACTTAGCATTGGAAATATATCCAGAGCCATCAAATACTGTAGTAGGGTTCCTTTAATGTAGTAATGACCTTTTGGAGTATTACAGAAGGCTTTCTTGAGGATCTGGACCCTTTTGGCAGTGGTTCAAAATTAGGTCTAAGTATGATATGATTGCAGTTAGAGTTTTCATGCCCTTTGTGTTATTTTTTGGCAATCAATTCAGCATAAAGATTTAGAAATGTATCTCCTACAAAAAAGCTCAAGTTTTTCCAACATAATTATACAAGTTATGTTTTTATATGTTTATCATAGAATTTATCATAGCATTTGGCAAAGTATATCTTTTACAATAAACCGTAAGTTTGTCGAAGTTAATAAAAATTAGGCTTTAATATGCTGGTTCAGACTAAGGCTGGTTGCTATTTTTAATTTGAAACACTCTCTTACGAAAGAGTTCACTCATTATAGGGTTTTGAGACAGGTTCTCACATTGTTAGTAGGTCCGGCTTCTATGTAGAGGCAACTAGTTGGAGTTGAGCAAGATACACAATATCATAAGCTTGCCATCAACATGCAAAAATTACTCTTTTCTTCTTGATTTCACAGAATGATAATAAAGGGTAAATCAAAAGCAAACTTTGGAAGTTACCCCCATGGCAAAGGGAAATCTACCAAGCATAAGTACCAAATATTCAAGCTCCAAGATGAAGGACCAAAGTTCAGGCTTTAACTCTTGTACTAAAGTTAAGCTAGACATAGGAGGACGGTGATCCTAGGCCTTCAATTATTGTAGTAGGATTCCTTTAATAATGGCCTATGGAGTATTGGGGATAGCTTATTTGAGTCTTATGACTTTTTTGGTAGAGTTTAAAGACAGTCTCGATAGTCTCATTTGAAAAATAGGAGAAATCTTACATGCTTTATTGAAACTATTTTAGCCGGTAGGCCATATAATCTCATTGTTTTTAAAGAAAAGCCTTATCACATATTTGTCGCAAGAAAGTGCATGATGTAACATCCCATTTCTGTTACCAGGGCAGAAGCATCGAAGAAAGAAAGGGAGAGGAAACGAAGAGCCGGAAGAGGAAGTGAAGAGTCGAATTGAAGGAGATGAGGCGAGGAGTCGGAAACTGAACAACAGGGAGATGAAGCATGTAGTGTCGGGAAGCCAAGGAGGTGAACTTTCGCCCGATAATTTGTCGAACCACTTACCTTTTGAGCTAAGTTGCTTGTCTGTGGTGAAGGAAGACAAGAGGGAGGAGCTTTCTTGCGTGTAACCGAGGCTTGCGAAGAGCAGCAACGACAGTATCTGTGCTTCGAGGTCGCGACGTCGGTAACGAGCCGCGATCGAAGGAGGAGCTTGTCTTGTCCAGCTAAGGGTTTTAAATGATAAATTTATGAAATTAATATATTAATAATTATTAATTATTAGTGATGCATGCTAGAAAATTTGCGGCGGTAGAGTAATGGATTATCGTTTTAGCGTTGCACGAAAATTCAGCACACACTCAGATGAAAATGAATCAAACTGTAATAACACCAGAAGTTTTTACGTGGAAAACCCGTAAAAAGGAAAAAAACCATGGGGTCTGATCCAGTTGTAAAAATCCACTATAAGTTGATGATTAAGCTTTCCACGTTATGACGGCGACTGATGACGTCCAGTAAGCGGTGGTTGACGGAGGTGAGCGATGGCTAACAACAGTCGATGACGGTCGGCCGTAGTTGACAGAGGTCAGCTGTGATCGACGGCGTTCAACGGTGGCTGGCGGTGGTCTACAGAGGTCGGCGGTCGTTGTCGACGATCGGTGGTGGTCGACGGCGATCAACGATGCCGAGGATGATCTTGGACTTGAGCTCCTTCTCAAAGCCTCAAGTTCTCTCTTAAGCCTCCTCCCCCTTTCATGTGAGGGGTGAGGCTCTATTTATAGTGTTTTGAGTGTAATTAATGCAGGAATATGAACTATTTTGATCAGACGGCCCGGAGAACTTCCTTTGATCAAATGACGTTTGATGAACATTTGAGTGTCTTAACGATGTCAGAATTGAGCAATCTTGGACTCGTTGGATTCGTCTTTTCGTGACGCTCGATTCGACTATAAACTCGCTAGATTCAACATCCATTTGACCTTTCAAATGCTTCCGGAAATCCTTTAATAGTGGTTTAATGATTTGATCCGGGCTTGATTTGATTTGGATTGGACTGACTTTCGTATCATTAGGTTCGTCTCATCGAACCGATCAATTTGACTATAAGTTTGTTGAAATCGGAGCTCCGTATGACTCTTAATCGAAGTTTGAATGTTTCTTGTTCAATATATTATCCCGAGATCGGTGTCGTGCCTTGAGATTTGTATCGGATGATGAAAATTTGTTGATGACGTATCAGTTGCCCCCCTATTTTCAGGCGAGTCCAATTTCGTCGTCTGAAAATATCGAAGCACTCCTTTCTTTTTTTTTGTATCTTTATTTTATATAAATATAAATAAATAAATAAATAAATAAATAA